TGAATACTATAAGCACTAAACCATGGTGCAGGATTTGAGCTCAATATATATCATCATCATCATAACAGTAATTAAATACTCATCTGTGCGTCCACCGCACCATTTCATACATATGCATCATAAATCAATTCATGCATGGCATTTCAACTCACATTTCTATATACTTTTCATATCAATTCTATGCATGGTATTTCACTTCCCGTTTTTCCACATAACTCATATGCATTTCATTTTAAACATAATTTCATGCATTTTCAATTTCTGGGAAAACGTTAAGTATATATATATATACGGAAAACAAAACTGCCCACTCACCTGGAGTTCGTCCAACAACTCCCTAGCACCACACATCAAGGCGTCACGACGATCGCCGCCTAGAATAGTAATCAAATCCAACCTCAGAATTCATATCGATAGAATATATAACTTATATAAAATACGTCACTACGTAGTTCGATCCGGAAGATCTGCCACTCAGATTTTAAATCCATAACTTCCAGAGGTCCACAATATATCTCTAGGATAACATCCTAAAAATTTCATTACCATCCAACGGTCGGATCTCCGTCAATTTCCAAAACTAAGTGACGGTTAACATTTTATATTATGGACTTACAATTCCAATTCCGGAAGATCCGTAACTCGGATTCCCAATCCGTAAGTTTCAATAATCCTCAAATATTACGTATTACAACGTATCAAAGTTTGGTGACGATCCAACGGTCGGATCATCAATTCACATTTTCACCTAAATGTGAAAAACTATAAAACGTTATTTGAACACCTAACCAACAATCTTCAATAACTTTCTCATACGGTGTTCAATTTAGGTATATGAATATACCACAGTGATCTACTCGACGTCACGGACGTCGACATATTTTTAAAATAATTTTATTTTTATTTTTTATTTTTACTGTAGTACCTTCTTCTTCCTTGGGTCGCCGGACTGGTTTTTCCGGCGGCCGTTTTCTGGGCAGTTTTTCAAATTGCCATAACTTTGTCATTTCTCAACGAAATCAAGTGATTCAAAAACGAAAGTTGTAGCCCTTGAAGAGACAAAGATAATGGTACCTTGCAAAACACCTAGTTCGCCGTGGTTTGGCCGGAAACTGCCTCGAAAGCCTCGGAGGTCGCCGGAAACTGGGTAATTTTCAAATGCTTCGTTCTCCTTCGTTTCTCAACCATTTTCTTCGTATAATATATCAATTTAAAGCCCTCAACATGTAGAATCACAATATACTACTTTTAAGCTTCAAAAACAACTAAATCTCACCGGAAAAATCCAAGCAAAACCGGCCAAACTTAACCCTCGTGATCCCGACGTCCAAATCCTTCCAACGAAGCACTCCGAGCTTCCTTGGGACCTCACTAAGCTCACTATGAGCTTGGATTGTCCTAAAAATCAACCAATTCAAAGCTCATGAACAGTACACATTCACGGCAACTTTAGAAACTAGGGTTTTCGAAGTGAAACTTACCTTAAACTGGTACCTACGTGATCGTGGAGTCCTCAGGAGTGCAATGGTGGTTTTAAATCCGGCGTTGGTAATAGTTTTAGGTGGTTTTGATGGTTGCCCGTGTGTTCGAGAGGGTGAGAGAGAGAGAGAGAGTGAGGTCTGAGGAAGAGAAAGAGAGTATGAAGGACAGTATACGGGAAATGGGGAGGGAAATAAGGAATGGGGATCCCACGTGGTCCTTTTCCAATCCCCAACTCTAAACCACAAAATTTTAACCTAAAAATCTAAGTTCCATCCTTATTAAATTCCATTTTATTTTCAAAACTTAGGAACCTAGATAATTATCAACTTGAGCTTCACATACTTAGTATTTCTTAAGGGCAATTTCGTCCATTCACAGCCACGAATGTAATATTTTGGAACGGGCTGTGACAATAATCCTATAAATTTAAAATCCCTCATTATAATACTATTATAAACGGTTACAATAAAAAAAATTCAAACATTTTGATTGAATAAATGGATAAAAACTATGTAAAAATAATAAATAATAAATGGCAAAAGAATGTATTCATAGTGTTACAAAAAATTGGTACATTTTACAAAAAAAGAATGGGTACATTAGAAATAAATTAGGGTACAAATAAAAGATTAAAAATTATGAATACAAATGAGTTTTTAAAAATATAGGCACTAAAAGAAATTAATACATGGGTACAAAATAAAACTAAAAAGAAAATACTACAAATTAAAAAAATGTTGCAAATTAAAAGTGGGTACAAACTAAAAATATAAATATATGACACAAAGTTTAGGCATAAAACATAAATATACCATATGAAAATTTTCTATCATTGATTAAATATACAATGTCACGTGACGATATACACATGAGTGCAAACACAAATAAAACTTTAAAAAATATAGGCACAAAAAGAAACTAATATATGGGTACAAATTAAAAATGAAAAGAAAATTGGTACAAATTAAAAAATATTTGCAAATTAAAAATAGGTGCAAACTAAAAATAAAAATATATGATAAAAAATTTAGTCATAAATATAAATATACTAATTGTAACATTTTTAACATTAAAGAAATATATTTAAAATAAATAATGATGTTATTAATACCCAAGAAACTTGATCAAAAATTGAAAATGAATAGGATTTTAATCAATGGAGTAACAAAAATAAGGATGTGAACCTAATTTTGCCTTTAAAAATTATCATTCATTTTTTCTCTAGCATGCACCGACTCTAGCAAGCATTTTAGTCTAATCACAGTCATTAAACGAACACTTTTTAGCTAAAATAATTTTTGAGATTAGCATAATTTATCATTTTAGTATTTGAAATTTAAAATCAATAGATATGTTCTTTAGTTTGTCAGTCTTCAATCAATTTGGTCACTTTGTGAAAAATATTCGTTAGAAAATAATTAAATGACAAAAATAACCCTATTTTGGTCAAATTATTTTGGTTACTTAACCGAGATTATTCACGCAATGACCAAAATAATTAATGGTGAACAAACTCATGGACCACTTTTATTGATTTCAAATATGAAAGACTAAAGTGAGGAATTATGTCAATCTTATAGACCATTTTGCCAATAAGTCTTAAACGAGGCATATTATTATAGCTCTCCTCAACATACAGTGTTGAATGCAGTAAAATGATAGCTTTTCAATAACATTGGGTCATATATGTGTATAAAATTTTAATCATATTGTGGAGCAAAAAATAATCACAAGGCGACACGTGAATTTTTGACAAAATAAGACAAAACTACTCTTGGGGCATACCGAGATTCCTATGCGCAAGCAGCAAACAATTATCCCTCAACCAAGTCAAAAGTGCCCAAAATAGGTATAAACTTAAAATCTAATTTATTCATATATTTTCTATTTCATTATTTAGCTAATCAATTAGCTAAATAAATATACTTATTCCATATTTCCTAAAACCCTTTTTTAAAACCATAATAATTGACCAATTAAGATATTAATTGCCTAATTAATCCCCTAATTGGCAAACAAATCATCCCAAAATCATGCTAGGGTCCGGCCAATCTCATCAAAAAGTAATCCATCTTATTCTCAACCTTTTCCACCATTTCCCCCTTTTAATTACCCTAATTAACTAGCCAATTAATCCCATAAACCACCAAAACATTCATTTTATGTTTAATTAGCCAATTAATCATAATAAATTGGCTAATTAAACCTAAATTAAACCCAAAAACCCTAGCTAGGCCGGCCACCTCCTATCCCTATATATAGTCTCCCATTTTCACCAAAAAGCAATTCAAACACTTTGGCAAAAATCTCAAAATTCTCTAAACACTATTTCTCTCTAAATTTTAACTTTGGCATCGGAGGTTCTTCGGCCAAAGCCCCCTATTCATCGTAGGCGCATGAGGCTCTTGGCCTTAACCTAAGGTGTTAATTGTTTTGTAGGTGCAAAATTGTTCAAGATCAAAGAGGAAGAAATTTGCATCCACACATATTAACATGACTGTTGTCTTTAGTACTGCGATTTAGTAATATTTTTTTTATTTGTGAGTATAAAGTTTTAAGTTCAAATTTCATAAATGGCTATTTTGTAACCAACTTATTCGCTTGCTTTTAATATAAATAAATTGTTATATTAAAATAAAAATGTTGTGATTAATATTAGTATATTACCATGATAATTATATGCCAGTGCTACCATCTAGTCCCACCAGTCAACGCTAAGGAGGGATTTTTCACTGTGTCAGAATCACAACCCTATATATTAAGTGTGATAAACAATTGGTTGGATATTTAAAAAAAAATCCAAACAATTTTATATGATATTTGTTATGGACTTTATCTCTATGAGAATGGTGATACAAATATGGTACAAGAAATATGGATCAGGATCCTCTCTTGAGCCTTAAAATCTGAGCCTGCTGAGCAGACAATTGTGGCCGTTGAAATTTGATCCAACAGTTATAATTATTATAATTTTTAGAGAATCCCTCTATTTATAGCCGTTTGATTAAATTTTAACGACCACGATCGCCTACTCAGCAGGCTTAGGAGAGGATCCTGATCCAGGAATTATGATAAGTATATCTGGTGTAGGGACCACAGCCCGGAGTCCTAAAGCGGGCCACTCTGCACTGGATGCTGGATCTGAGAGAAGACCCATTTTTGAATCCCGGAAGAATCAAAGGTTGCCGCTCCGTAGCCTTCGATGTGATGTCAACATCCTACTGGCCAAGTCTTTTTACCATTTTGCCCTCCTTCACCGTTTTGGCCAATCAGCCTCTGAGCCTAGCGAAGGTGAGGACATCAGAGCCCCATCTAATCCTAACTCAAATTATTCGAAGCGCTTGGGACAAGGCACGATTTTAAATTGAGGGACTCTTACGTCATTTCGCCCAGTTGAGTCCTTCGTCCACGTCATCGAGCCATGTGACCAGTGCTATAGGGTCTTGTACCGTTGGATTGTAACACAAACTCGCAAGCCCTAACCGTCGGATCTCTCTTCTTCATCCTCCTTCCTTTTTCCCTCGGTCCGATCATCAAGGGAAAACCAACCTTTTAAATCCTCACTTCTTTCCTTATCCCCTCTGCCTGACTGAACTTCCCACCAAACCAACACCAACAGTCTCTCTCTCTCTAGAAAACGGTTTCAGTTTCTCTCTCTAGAAAACGGTTTCAGTCCCCATCTCTCAGTCGGATTCTTTAGAGGAAGTTCTCATGGCGATGGAGAGCTCCAACAACCCACTGGTACCGCCGCCAGCTCCCTCCCTCCCCCAGTACCCAGAGGTACCCACAATTTTCCTTCATTTTCTTTTCTTGGCATCCAAACAGGTTTTCCTTTTTAATCTTCGCTTAATTTCAGCTGGGTTTTGCTAATTGTACTGATTTTTCTGTCCTTCAGCTGATCATGGCGGCCATCGAGGCCCTGAACGACAGCAACGGGTCGAGCAAGTCGGCAATCGCGAAGCACATCGAGTCAACGTACGGCGATCTGCCGGAAACTCACGCTGCGCTCCTCGCGCACCACCTCAACATGATGAAGGACACCGGCGAGCTCGTTCTGGTCAAGAACAACTACATGAAGCCCGACCCCAACGCGCCGCCCAAGAGGGGCCGAGGCCGTCCGCCCAAGGCCAAGACCCCTCTCCCTCCTGGTACTGTCTCCTCGCCGCCCAGGCCACGCGGCAGGCCCCCGAAGCCCAGGGACCCTTTCGCTCCCCCACCGCAGCCCAAGAGCCATTCCGGAACTGGAAGGCCACGTGGCCGCCCTCCCAAGAAGGCCAAAACGACACCGTCTTCTGCTCCAGCTCCCGCTTCGGCTACCGGTGCGCCGAGAGGCAGAGGCAGGCCGCCTAAGGTCAAGCAGACCGCCGTGGCGCCAGTTGGCTGTTGAGCTTAGCTCAGACAGCGAGAGAGAGAGAGAGTGCTAGGTTTTTTTTTTTTTTAATTTTTTTTTTTAATTAATTTTTAATTAGTGTGGTTAGAATCTAGCTTTCGGCTAATTGATGGTTTAAATACCGTTTTTAATTAATTTCTGCTTTCAAGTGGGCGTATGTGGGTGATGTGTCGGTGTTGTGAGGTTGTAACGTGTAACTCGCCATGTAAATTGTTCAGCGGCTTCTTATGCTTTTCTGCCTTTTGCCTCTCTCTAGGTAAAAGAAAAAGGGGTTAAAATTAAAACCAGACTGATTCTGATTTACTTTTTCACTTTTTATTTCTACTTTTTTTCAACGTGCTGCGATGTGGTTGGTTTGTTTGCTTGATTGGGTAAAACATTAATGGTCAAAAAATAAACAAAATGTATGAGTTACGTACTTGTATTTTATACGGTACGTTATGAATTTGATTTTTTGTATTTGTAAATTACACAATGGTGATCAGAAGAGATTGAAATACTTTTATGTGTTTTTTCGACTTCTGAAATGATAGACTGCTTTAGCGAAATCTTTAGTTAATTTCTTCTTCTTCTTTTTTAAAGAAAAAATAGATTATAGGTTATTATCTGTTTGTGGAAACAGACGATGCTTTTTCCAGTTTTAAAAAAGTATAATCTTTACAGGTAATGTTGTGGAGTAAAATACCAGCATCTTCGCCTTTTGGATTGCACGCCTGAGATTTCCGTCCATTTTTTCATCTAAATTTTTTGACTTTGAGCGGACTAGATCATTAAAGTTTGGACGAGCAAATACACGTATATAGTGAGATTAGTGAAAAGTCATCGTTATTAATATTAGGACATGTTGGTTTTAAATTTGTGATTTTATATGATAATTTACATAAAATTGATTTTGAAAATAGTTATTGAAAAAAAAAAATTTGGCCTAAATTTATTCTTTATTAATTTCGGATTAAAATTTTAACCCTTAACTATTGGAACAAAAAGACTGTTTCTGAGTTAAACTTAAATTTTTTAAGTTTTAAAATTTTATGTTTTAATCCAAGAGTTGGAGAGAGAGAAATAATCGTAATACTAAGTGTTAATAACTCATACTATTCAATTAAAAAATGAGGCAGATGACACTTTATTGCAATGACAGACAACAACAATGCATTTGCACCTTGGTGCGGGTAGGGGTGGGTTCGGTTCGGTTTTTCTTTGGTTTTTTTTTTTCCCTTTTAGTTTTTTTCGGTTCGATTTCGGTCCGGTTCGGTTTTTTTCATGAAAATTGTTTTTTTTTTTTTTTTTTTTATCTGGATATTAAAGTCTCTGCAAGACTGAGGGCTTGCTTGCCAAAATCAAGTTGTGAGAGTAGATTATCAGTGTTTACCCCGATAGACTGAGCCAGTGTAGGATCAAGAGTGTGCTCATCGTCAACAAAGACACATGTCCAATATCACGACAACAGCCAATATAAAAATCACCAACATAAGATAAACGTACAAGTAATTGACATTAACAGATTACCCCACACCAAAAGATGGTCTCAATCAGTTCTTCATGAGTAAATATTGAAACATGAAGAATTTACATTTTACACACTAGCCATAACCATTAAATGTGCACCAAACCAAATCCTTACATGCCCATTGTATAACATCGCTTCAACATTTCAAGCTAATAAATCACAGAAATTTACTAATTTGACTAGACCAGCAAGAAAAAAAAAACATAGGTATCGTAGATGCATGGAAAGAGACACAATGATAGATAGCACTGGAGCACTTACCTCGGCGATTGAGTTTCGCCGATTTGACTCGAAAATTGAGGGGAGATGGGAAATGGAGGTTGGGGAAGTGGGTGAGCTTGATTTCTGAGGTGGGATTTATGGGTTTTGGTTGTATTTGGTTGGAGAGAGAGAGAGAGAGGGAGAGATAGAGGGGGATAAAGAGAAGGGGGGGGAGAAGAGGATGATGAAAGATAGGAATTGGGAACGAAGCGGCTAAGGTTAAAGAAAAGTATTTGCTGTCAAAATGGTTTAAGGGAAAGACACTCAACTAAGCAGGAATGGGTTTGAAACCCCTTGACTACATTTTTTTTTGTGTTTTTTATTATTAAAATATATTTCGGTTCAGTTCGATTTGGCAGTTTCGGTCTTGGTCCAATTTTCGGTTTTTCGAACTCACCCCTAGGTGCGGGTTCGATTCTCATCAATTCCTCCCTCCTAACAACTAACAATTAACCCACTAACTCCCTCTTAACAACTAACAATAACCACTAACTCGTTTTGTATAATATTAGTTGGAACATTGATATTTGTGTTAATCATATATATACAAAGAACAATTTAGAATTATTTTCATTTTTTTCCTTCACTCTCATCTCGATCTTTGATAACAAAATATAAAAATTAAACAACTAAAAATAAATAAATTGTTATCAAAGGATTATAGATATAATTAGTTATCAAGCGGACCATAAACAAAATTTGTTATCAACTTGTCCTAAAATATTTATCCAAATTAAGGAGGAAGAATAACAAAATAATTATTACGTGGAATAGAACATAAAATTTGTAAGTGAAAGGTATTCGGTTTAATTCTCGCTAATGACGAATTTGAATTACATTATTAATAGCCAATTGAGAGTAGACATGGTATTTGTGTCATGCTTTTTGTGTTTGTGTTGTTTTTGTCACATACATGATATCTTAAAAAGATGTGTTGTGTAACACCTGTTAAAATAAACGGGTAATATGACCCGACCTGAAAGCAACCTGTTAATATTATCAGGTAATATGACCCGACCCATCTGTTAAAGAAAATATATTTTAAATAAAAAAATAATGAAAATGACAAACATGATTTGACCTCAGAGAAAAAAAAAGGAAAACATAATGTTAAATTAGTATAGCATACCACGTTGTCATATAAATATTACTTCAAAACATTAAAAAAAAAACATTTGTCTTCCAAGTATTACATATCTCAAAATATGAGCCTAATGAAAAAAATATTAGTACATTACTACAAAATACCAAATGTTCAAAGTACAATTACAATAAAACCCTTCAATTTTCATCAATCACCAAAGGAAATGATATTGAAACTTTGGCTAGATATATTGTCTTCAAGAGTTATCTTGACGATGTTTAATTAATAACGATGTATACATAAACTAAGCATAAAAAATCAAACATTGTAAATTGTTGATGCACAAAATCAGTGAGGACTTTGGTACAACAGAAAATGTTAAGTTTGTGACATTCGCTAGATTGCTCCGGTCACTAGTGTGAATAAGTATGTAAATGGATAGGGACATGGAAGCAAACACAAGATGTATGTGGTTCACCCAGATTGGCTACGTCTATGGAGTAGAGGAGTTCTAATTAATTATGAAAGGTTTACACAAGTACATAGGTTCAAACTCTCCTTTAGTGAGTACTAGTGAATGATTTAATACAAATGACATTAGGAAATATTGTGAGAGAATGATCTCTATTTATAGAAGAGAGTTTCTAGTTTTATTACGTGTCGTGTTGTGATTGGCTTCTGATGTTGACACGTGTCGCGCTATGATTGGCTTCTAATGTCGACACAAGTCGCGTTGTGATTGGCCTCCTGGTTGGAGGGAAACTCTTCAGGGTCCTTGACGGTATAACGTTGACCGATGCTCAGTAGTTTCGGGATTGGTCAAGTATGGTAGAAACATAAATCATTCAAATGTGTTTGATATGTTTAAATTACTTGATATTTTTTAATTTGTAATGTGTTTGTTATTTTTAATTACTTGATATATTTATTTTCAATGTTAAATTTATATAAAATAATAATACAATAATACATAAATACATATACACCATGACTATTGTATTTTATAATATGTTTTTTAGTAGTTTAAAAATTAAAATGATCAAAATAAATTTTTTCTTAACGTGTCAAAAAGGGTTATTTGCATATTACCCTTGTGTAAACTTGTTAAGGATTCGTTATTAACGGATTATTATCTTGTGACCTAATTAGTTATCATGTTGACTCAAAATCGCTTATTTTTCGTGTCGCTTAAATGTCATGTTAACAAGTCCTGTAAAAAATTGTCGAATCTAATTGTGAGATTAGCCACTCTTTCATTCTGTTAATGTACATAATATTGTTGGTTCTAACAAACTAAAAAAAAAGGCGTAGAATTGAACGACAGTACCGGTCGTAGGGGGACTTAGCACGCAATCAGCGGGGTAGTGAAGTAAAAACACAATCCGTGGGAATCGCTCTCTCTTTGTCTCAGGAAACACGCCGATAAAGATCAGCGGCAGACTATAAAAGTAAAACAAAGATCAACGGCTAAAAGTAACAGGAATAGGTACCGAACGTGCTACGTGGAGAATATTTTTACAGTATTCGCAGAAAAAGGTCATCCGATCCCATCTTCCTCGTCACTCTCCAATCTTCCACGTCCATCTTTTACGTCTATCATTCACTCACCTAAATTAAATTTGGCGTAAATCGTAGCACACTTCGTCACCTTCCAGTTCCGTTATAAATCTCTCTTTCTTTCTCTCTCTAAACTCCAATCTCCGATCTCTCTTTCTCTCTCTACCTCTCTCTGTGATTTGAATCGCGTTTTGTTCTCAGCGAGCAGAATGTCGTCGGGGCAGGTTAGGAAGGTGGAGACGACGCCGTTCGATGGCCAGAAGCCCGGAACCTCTGGCCTCCGCAAGAAGGTTCATCTCTCTCTCTCTCACTTTTTTTTTTTTTCAATTCGTAATCGAATTTCCTTTGCATGAATGCTGGATCTGTTGCGTTCGGGGAAATTCTGCACTCTGTTTGCTGCGATCAATTTTTCGTCGTTTGATTTGGTGAATTTGCATTGTTTTCCGATGTCTTGCTGTTTCCAAATTTCTGATCAGTGTATGAAATTGAAATTATTCGAGTCTGATCTCTGTTCGATCAAATCGATCCGGTTGATCCGTGCACCCGATCTTTAGATCTTTCTAAGCTAATTAGATCTTATTTATAGTGCAGAATATGATTCCAGAAGTTTATGAACTAATTACATCTTAGTTAAACTGGTTTAATTCTAATATAAAATTTGTGTTGACGATTGATTCAGTCGAAATTCGATATTATTTTCGGTAGAGTAGAGATTGGCTGTTAGAAAATGCATGCCTGTTCTCTAAAGCTAAAATAGACTTCTCAGATTGCTGTGATTATCTTAGTATAATGGTGGCTTTAACTTTTCAGGTGAAAGTTTTTACGCAACCTCATTACTTGCAAAATTTTGTTCAGTCAACATTCAATGCCCTTCCATCGGATCAAGTTAAA